GTCTTGATTAAATCAAATCTAGTAATTATCACTGTGTGACTTCATTTGAAAAGCTTAGTCTACACTTCTTTTAAAGGAGGAAAACCTCCATCAGGCATTCAAGTTTATCATTTATATTCCATTAACAATTCTTTAAAGGCAGGCTAGAATCTGAATAGAATGTATTTTCCTTTCATTTGTATATTAAGCCACAAATATATGATAGGTTGGGAAGACACAACAAGGGACAAGATTACAAAACCATTCTCTTTAGGCACCTTAGAGTCTCATTGTAAAAGAGAAGATTTATAATTATTATAAAGAAGGATAAATAGTTTAAGCTGCTAGGAGATRTAGACTGTCATGGAAGCTACTGAGAAAATTATGAAGGCAATTATGGAATATTCAAAGACGTATAGAAAGGAGAGTGACATGATCATATATTCATTTTTGTCTGACTGCAATGAGGAAACTGGTTTGGTAGGTGGGAAAATYAGAATTGGAACAATTCTGAAAGTACTACAGAAACTGGGACATCACACATGTATGAACAGTTGAAAAAGAGTGATAGGCAATTTTGAAAAGTATTTAGGGCAAGTGTGTTTAATGTATACACTCTGTAACACAATGTCCTTGCCCAGTGCTTCTATTCCGGGATTCACGGAAGAATCACTTGGAAAGCCTTCAGCATTCACACCCAACACTAGGCTTGCTGAAGAAGATTCTTCAGAGCTTCAGCTATTAGGTACCTCCATAGCTGGTTCCTATCCTGAAGTGATTCAGACACAAACACACTTGTGTATTCCTTTTTCCCTGTTATATTCACTTTAATAATTATATTTAACTGAAAGTCCATATTATATATTAGCATAGCAAATATAATTCACAAAGCAGGATTAGTTAAGTATTATTTATGTTGCTATGATGACAGCACAAACTAGAGGAATTACTAATCCCCAAAATAAATTAATAGATGAACATTTTTTTTCATACCCAAAGTAGGTATGAAATGAATAATGAAATTCCAGTTAAAGACAAATTAGCTAAAAGGGAAAACATTCTGAATGAGCTAATGGGATTTAGAATTTTAATGGCATCCAAGGCAGTTAGCCAATGGAAAAAAAAATTCAAACAAACTTGCAAAAATCATTTCAAATGTGATACTTTACCAAAAGAAGATTTTTTTTTTAAGTACTGGAGATTGAACACAGGGGTGATTTCTCACTAAGCTGCTTCCCTAACTCTTTTAATTTTTTATTTTTGGACAGGGTCTCATTAAGTTGWCAAGGTTGATCCCACACTAGGATCTTCCTGCTTCAGCCTCCTGAATAGCCTAGATTACAGACATGTGCCAACCCACCCAACAGATCTGAATATTTTCAAATGAAACATGTATATGTCCCCTCAAAATAACAAATGATAATTTTATTTTTGTCAGAGAGAAAATMTTTATTTACTAAATTGAAAATGTCATAAATGCATTGCATTCTATCAAGTAACAGGTTTCAAAGAGATCAATGAAAATTAATATATAAAATCAATACTTAAGGCTCAAAATCCATTTTTTTCCATTAATTTACTTTTTCAGGATACTTTATTATAAAATGTACCCATATATATTAGTTTGTAAGGCAAAATTTTAAGGAATGTTATTAGAATGGGGTTAAGGAGGGGTTTTATATGGTATGAACAAATACCTATGTGATAAAWTGCTATTAAAACAAGAGTTACTAAAAGATAACTAAAGTATCTGTGTATTTCACAAGAACCTTTTGTGAAACTCATAAACAAGATAAAAACTCAAACAAGGACATATTATGCTGAGATGTATTAAAATTAAGTACTTACTTTAGTTTAAAAATAAATAATAAGGATTTCTCACTATTACAAAATAATTTGTTTACTAAAGTTGGACTTTTATTAAAAAGATATTTTTAATCGAAGATGAATAATTTGTAGTGAACTCAAATAAACTAATGAAATTTGATTTGTAGTTTAAAAATTTTTAGCTTAGAGAATAATTCAATTGATGATTTTTAAAGGTATCTATTATGAATATCTTATTTTAAAAACAGTTGTCTATGCTAATCATAATAAAATTGCTTTTACTTGCCAGGCATGGTGGCCCACTCCTATAATCCCAGCAGCTTTGGAGGCTGAGGCAGGAGAATCTCAAGTTCAAAGTCAGCCTCAGCAACTTAGTGAGGAAGCAACTCAGGGAGACCCTGTCTCTAAATAAAATACAAAAAACGGGTGGGGACATAGCTTAGTAGTTAAGTGCCTCTGAGTTCAATCCTCAATACTCACCCCCAAATTGCTTTTACTTGTTTGCAATAAAAACTGATCTGAATTAGCTGCACAAACATGTATAATCATTACTAATCAAACATCACTTTAAAACTCAATTCTATTTAGTTCTGTTTAAGGGAGAAAAATGGATGGAAATATAAAAACAATCTCACTAAATTCTTAGAATTTCTTCTATAGTGAATATTACTAAATAGTTCAAAATTGTGAAATTAAGTACCCTCAAAACAACTCAACTCTCTCAACTCTTCCTATTGGTTCTTCCTACTTTTCTTTTACTGGTATTGATTTATTATTAAAATCCATTCCAAAGAGAYAGGTAGAAAGTTAAATAGGGAAATATTACAGACTTTAAGATTACTATCTAATTATTAAAAAAAAAAGGTGATACTAAGTTTGTCTTGTTCAAAGAGGTTCAGAGTGCATGTTAAGCTAGAGGTTGGGGAGATTCTGTCTTACCTATTCATGTGCTTAAAAATATTGTGCTGTCAGTAGAGAAACCATGTAGTCAGACATAGTGTTGGCTGGTAAATATTTTACAGCAGACTTGCCAAAAATAAAAATCCCTAATTTGTGTTGTTTGCCAATTTGCATGGCATAAATACTCCTACATGGCTGTTTTTGAGCTATCAAAATGATATAAATGAATGTACAAGTGGAAGGATGCTTGGCTGCTATTATATAGAAGTTTACCATACAACTCCGATAGTGTATAGAAGTTTGCAAGTACATACRGTAGTAAAATAAAGAGGAAATGAGTTTTGAATGCTGATTAGCCTTTTTAAAACATAATTTSTTCAGTGTTGTTTATTCAATTTAGTTTCATTCCTTTTCTTAACCACCAGATCACAAAGTTACTGAAATTCTCAGAGATCAGTTTTATATATGTATAATTCTATAATTAAATAGATATATAAAATTATATATCTATTTAATTATAGAATTATACATATATAATTATATATAAATATATGAATACACAAATCATATATATATAATATATATATATAAAACTCTAGCATATTCTAACATATTACTTTATAAAGTTTAGGCACAAAGACCACCCCAKTGACATATACATGTATGGGACACACAAACACAAAAAAGACCTTTTCCAGTATGTATTTACATTGGCTAATGAGAACACATCACTAGATGCCTCCAATAGCCTATATAATMATTTCATTTAGATTGCCTACCTTCTCCCTGATTCAATTCTGGTCCCCAGTAAAGTTTCTAGAATTACTATTATCAAAGTGTTAAATGTTAGTAATCATTATTATAAGGCAGTCATAACATAATGGACTCCCTTAAAATTGGGCATTTTCAATTAAGTCTCAATTGTTTTCTCAGGGCTAGTCATTTTCCTGCCAACCTGTTCTTGAAGCTATTTTCTCCAACCCTGCATACCACAGACTGCCATTTCATGCTGAGCAAAGAGGCTGAAACTGCTGCAACAGTTCAAAGACAAGTCCCTTGGAGATAACAGGATGTGGAAGGACCAGGAAACCAGAATTTAATATATCTCAAGGTTCCACTCCAGGGTACACAGGCTGGCTGAATTGACACATGATCTTTCTTGGCAATTGTTATCCATTAATGATCCCTTCTAAAAACTAGAATATTTCTGTGGGTTAGGAGAAGGAAGACTAGCTGTCTTCCCAGTTTGTGCAAAGTTCTAATAAATTCATTTTTCTGTTTTATGTAATTTTCCCTTACTCTCAATGTGGGCTATTGACTGAATCCAGTCAGATGGGATCTCAAGATTCAGGCTTCTGCCTAGCCCTTTAACAATGATAATATTTCTCCTAAATAATAAGTATCTTTTGTTCTCATACCATTAGACTCTCCTATTAATAAAGACAAATCTTTTGAAAGGTAATATTATGTAATAAAAGTCTTTGAATATGAAGTCACAAATCTCAGGTTATTGTTTTGAAATCWTACTTACTAGAGTAATTAATTTAAAATCACTGAAATTCTCTGCATATTATAAAGTAGTATTAGTGTACATATATTTTACAGAAATTTTCAAAAATATAAATATTATAATTATACCATAATACCATAACATATTTGAATGCTAAAGAATGTCTAACTCTTGGTAAAAAGGTAAAAGAATCCTATTACATTTTCTTTACATGCTCAACATTTTAGTAAATGAGCGCAGGTTGTGGGAGGGTAAATGTACTCAATGGACAAAATCATTCAAACCTTCAGATTTAATTTTCCTGGGTTGATTATTTTGGGTACAAAAATATACTTTTATGGTATCATATAAGCAAAGCCCCACTATCATTAACATGAAGTACATTTAATAGATCTCTCAAAAGCTTTGTTAATGTATATGTATATGTATATATATATATATATATGTGTGTATGTATACATACACACACACACACACACACACACACACACATAACTTTATATCTGATGCCAATATCTCCTCACCTTCAGCAATGGGAAACTTAGCATCAATTTTTTTCTTTCATAGAACTTTAAAATTTTAGAGCTGAATTTTGTAGTATCTATCTACAAACCAGAATACCAAACCCTTCATTTTACATATGGAAAATACTGGTGCCCAGGAGTATAAATGACCCTTGCCCCATGTCACATAGTTAATTACTGACAGAGTAGAGTCTAAGCACTTCTAAGACCTCATTGTCTGCCAGAGCTAAAAAGACATTAATCTTAGAGCAAACCATTACCTCTTGAAGAACTCTCTTCATCTTTAATAATAAYGTCTTTACTGCTGTGCAGTCCTGTAACATCAGTCTGAAAGGCAGAGAATCTATGCCCCCATTTTCTTCCACACCTTGTAGGGGCCAATCTGTTGATGGACTGCTGGGCATTCGGCTTAGATGGGAATACCTGGATTCCTGATCTTCTTTTGTTAATTTCAGGGAAAGATTCCTAACAAGGAAAAAAAAAAAAGAACAAAAATTATAATGTAGCATGTTTAGGGTGCTTCCAAAGTTATAGATTAATGTCTATAGTATGCTAGGAAAAAACATTTTGTGAACCTCATAATTTCTTCATAGTAGTCTTTGAAAACATTCAGATCTTCTGCATACATTTTGAAATGACTTAATTGTATATTTAGTGGCAAGATTCAATGACAATTACTGTTTTAGAATACGATCATTCTTTAATTAGCATTTCATGTACACATGATACTTAGTTAACTCATTTAAAAATTCTGAGATTCAACAAAAATATCACTGGAAGAAAAATTTCATATTTGTGGTTCTAGTAAAGGGCTTAAAATTAACTGGAAGGAAAAGCTTAAGCAGCAAACATTGTGACAAAATATATTTGGTATTTATTAAATTATAAAGAAATCAATAACAATTTTAGTGGTTAAGAAAGCTAGTCATTGTCCTGCCAACCTGTTAAACTTTTAGAGCTGAATTTTTTCGTATCTATCTACAAACCAGAACACCAAAACCTTCATTTGACATATGGAAAATACTGGTGCCCAGGAATATAACTGATCCTTGCCTCATGTCACATAGTTAGTTACTGACAGATTTATGTAAAAAAAAAAAAGTGAAACAAAACAGGAAATGTATAATTCTATGATGGAATTAGCATGTGAAGGGAAGCAACACATGCCACCCCCAAAAATGTCCCCTTTAGCTTAAGGATCATTTTGAACTGAAGGCAACTGAGAAATGGATACAAGAAGAGTTCTTTTGTCTTCCACCTTTACATAAAATCAGATATACATTTACAAAAGTGTTCCTCTCCTCTCTCCACCAGAAGAATATGAGTTAATTACTGGAGACAACCCTATATTCTCCTGAGTCAGGATAAGGCAGCAGAGGAATCCATGTAGCTAACCTAAGGCTTTTCTCCCATTATTTGCCCCMTATATTCACCATGCCACACTTTGATGTCCTAGAAACTCAAAGTCCCTGTTATTAGGTTACTTTTCTAAAAATGTATTGTTCTTTTGTTAAAATGATAAGATGCCATCTAAGCCCCAAGCTGACCATGCCTCTGATTCAATCATTTCTGAGTGCTCCTGTGTGTGTATGCAATGCACATATTAATAAACTTATTTGTGTTTCTCTTATAAATCCTCCCCACTTGGAAAATCTGAGAGAGTAGAAGGAAAAGACTCAAACACAAAGWGCTCATTTCTCCTGAAAGACAGCTTCTTCTAAATTGACAAAATACAGATTAACAAGAACAGATGATAGTTTCAAAACAAATCTAACCTAACATATATATGAAGTCCTTATAAGACTGCCTGAGTTACAATGGGCACAGAAACATTACTTATTATTAAATACATTCTATTAGTAAGGGGAAAATCTTATTTTGCAAATGCACTTAGGTTAATTTATCCCAGACCCACCTACTTCTTACCATTTCTTTAGCTCTGAGAAAATTTATGTATCTATTTCCTCATGTAAAAAATGATAATACTCATTTTACAACTACTTTCTCTGGACTTGTTCAAAATTTGAATAAATTAGCACATATGAAGTGGTCAGCAAAATATCTGGCCAAGAGTCAGTCATTCCTCAAAATTGCTAGCTGTTTTTTATTTATTACATTATTACAGACATAAAATGAGAGTAATAATAATTATCACTTCAAACAACAATGATAATTAATGAATATGTCTATGAAGATAAAGAAAAAATTGAGTGTGATTCAGGAGTGTGTTTTCTTTACTAATTATTCAATAATTTAAAAATTAAATTATTCCCAAGATAAATAACAAGATTTGAATAAAATTAATTGAGGCTATATTATTTTATTTGCATTTTTACCTAACCTGTATAGCAAGTACCAAGGCATTTCTTTGTTTTTTTTTGTTTGTTTGTTTGTTTTCCAATTTAGCTAAAGGATCATGCCATGTATTTCAGAAAATAATACTATACAGACATAGATAAAAATTCRAGGGTCTCTGTTATTTTCAAATAGTCAAAAAGGAACATGCACAGCAATGAATTTAGAAGATAAAACTAACCATTTGTTTTGTATCACAATAGTTTGTATCCAAATTCCCCAAATAGAGAATAGTGACATTTTTCACAGTTACTAGAACCATCCACATTGTGTCCCACAGATCAACACTGGCTTAAATTGCAAAGATTAATAGGTTTCTGGCACTGGCTTCAAGAACTTCACCATATTTTTAACTTATTAGTTATATCAAAAAATATTAACTAATATTCTTTCACATATGAAAAMTTTATCTTTGAACATTTTATTTTTACATATAAAAACAGATCTGCTACAAACCTGTAGTAATCAAAACTGTTCTTAATTAGGTCAAGGCAGTTGATGAAATGAATATCAATCAGGACTATTACTCAGGGCCTTGGTCAGCATACCATTTTGTTTTACGTTTATTTCTACTGGCCTTCTGATTGTGTAGTACCCATGGTTTATAATTAATAATATTCAATAACATGTTCAGTATATTAAATATTAATGTTTATAACAAGAGAACATTATTGGGTCCCAAATATGCAAGTTCCTCTGGGTAAATTCAACTAAAAAATAAAATAATCCCTAAGGTTGATGAGAAAAGAAGAAAAATCTTTAATAAGATGTCATAGTTTCTTCAAGTACAGACAACCCAAAATAAGACAGTGAGGATATTATTAGGTTCAAGTCTTGCTCTGTTCCTATATTAGCAGGGCTCACCTGATAATACAATTCATGCACTTCTAGATATACACCTCACTGTCAGCAAATTCTCTGAATTATTATGGTTTCAGAAAACTTAACAAATGTGTTGTATACCAAAAAAAAAAAAAATCATCCCTTACCATGGGGGAAAAAAAGTATGATTCTGAAGCTGGACACAGTGGTTCATTAATCTCCATAACTACTACAAACAAAACGCAAAGACAGTGTAATCTCCACTGAGAACATTTATATACAGTTCGCCCTCTCTGTGTCAACTCTATGAATCTTCAGTAGAATTACACAATAATATTTACACATGCCTTGATACTTATAAAACTGATTAAATCTGTATAATTTAAAATTTAGTAACATTTAGATAAAACAAAATCAAGACTTAAGAACCTTTTCAGTTATAAGTGCCAAAGCAATAAGAATTTTGAGATTAATAGCAATGTTTATAAATATTACATCAAATGTATTCTTGAAAATTTAGAGTATTTTAGAGTTTTAGCTGGTATTTAAAAAACTTAAACTACTACAGAATATTAGCTTTGCATGTGGTCACTGTGATTCTTTGTGTAGTAGGAATTTCCTATAAAACTAGTTCAGAAGTTCTACTGTAATTCTGTTTTTCAGTATGTCAGTCAAGTTTAATGGGAAAATATCTATCTTGACAAAATCTATAGGGTGATTAAAGTTTTTTGTTTCCTACCACAGAGAAAAAATATAACAGCCTTTTATCATTTTTCACACAGTTGTAACTAGCAATATCACCTTGAGAGTAAAACATTTTCTTCCCATTCACAAGAAGTCTTCAAATCTTTTGAAAACTTGCCAATATAATGGCCAAAATGACTAACAAAATACAAGACCATGTCAGTTGCACAGAGATCATATCATATGCACACTTCCTATTTAGTGCACTGACAAATTTCATTACAGGGATTGTCTGTGGCTAACAGGTATCTCAATGACTTATACTTTGTAATGTGACTATGATTTCTCAACCAATTTACAAGAAAATGAAAAATAATAGTAACCTCTATTTGCCTAATATAATAAATAAACACATGTATATGACTATCTCCCAAAGCTTCATTAAGTGGATTTGCAGAAAACAATGATTTTTAAAAACCTTAATTTGGAAAACTTACTTTTATTTAAGCTTCATTTCAAAATAAACCTGGTTATTTATGGTGAATTCAACCTTCCCTTGAATACTTCTAAGACAGGTACAATGAKGTAAATTTATGCTATTTGCAATTGTTAATTTGAATTCTCCACTTGATTGGATTAAGACAAACCAATGATTAAGAGGACTATAATTGGATATCTAGTTACTTCTGGAAGGAATGGATATAGGATCTCTCCATGTAGTAGTTTAGTTTTTATCAGAACTTAACATATTACATTTAGATAAAAATGTACCTGTATCAAGCTATTTTACCAGCACTTGTGATATGAGAAAAGGTGAGGTACACTCCAAACACCTCTACATAACCAATGTAGTTCTTTATGACAGGACATAACTTCCTCACCACTTCTCATCTCAGAACACTGCCTGCCTCCTTGCTCTTTGAATTCTAAACACATGATCTTCTGAAATATATAAACTCCTCTGGCCTGAAAGGCTTTGCATGTTCTTCTATCTACATAAAAAAATTTCTCTTACCCACCTTAGAATAAATYACATCTCCAGAGAAACCTTGGCATCTGGTATACCACTAATCAAAACTGCATAGATTGCCAGGTACAGTGGCATATGCCTGTAMTCTCAGCAGCTCRGGAGGCTGAGGCAGGAGGATTGTGAGTTCAAAGCCAGCCTCAGCAACTTAGCAAGGCCTTAAGCGACTCAGTGAGAGACCCTGTCTCTAAATAAAATATGAAAATGTGGTTGGGGATTGGCTCAGTGGTTAAGCTTCCTTGAGTTCAAACCCTGACACTAAAAAAAAAAAAAAAAAAAGCATAGGCTCCTTTTTCTCATGCTAAGGCTTCTTTTGTGATACTTATCAAATATGTAGTTAAAAATTAATTTGAAGAGAACTCTAGGAAAATTCTTGGCTAAATAATCTATATTCCATGTTTAAAACACAAAAATAATATGTACATTATACCAAATTTAATTTTTAAAATTTTACAATGCATTGTAAGAGGTCAAGACAGATGGATTTCAAGGTGCCAAAAAGATATATCAAAACAACAATAAGTACACATACTGCCAATGTGGTGGTTTTAGGGCCCTGAACTTGGATAAATTTGGA